TACAAAAGCAGACAAAAGGCGACGACGAGGCAGCAACTCCCTTAAGCTGACAGCGACCGTGAAACGATGGGGATGCGAATGCAGGATTTCTGTCAGCGTGGCGCATAAATGCGATTAAAAGGCAACCATAATTCATAACGCTGTATTGTGACTGCCAACTGGAAGCCATACCGTTGCCCTCTCGAGACCCTGTTGATCGCACTAGAAAAGTTAGATGTGCAGGCAAGCGATGCTGGCAGTTCAAACTTGCGTCAGTTTTGGTTACATTGTTGCCTCATCTTCGTTTTTAACATATTACACTATTACTCGCGCATTACTCTCTTCACTTGTCTTCCTAGGCTGCAATTGCTCTCTTTCGTTTTGTACTATCTCATTATTGCAAAGCATTTCTGTTGATGTTTCCTTTCTCATCCAGCTTCAAACTTTGCCTCGTATCTTCATTGCATATACAATCGCTACAACTACCATGCATTTCTCTCATAGCTAAATAGACAATAAGTAGAGGATCACATTTCACACCGCGAATGTATGCCACAATGAACTCGGTTACTTGTACTTTGACTTACTTGTTGTCTATCGCTCATTGAAAATCCATGAAAGTGTATTCAAACTGCTGATTTCAGCATTTGAACCTCGATAGTAACTTTGCACAGCTTTTATAGATACGAGAACGGCAAAAGTAATAAACTTGACCAAATTCCTTGACTTTTGCAATGGTTCTAAGTGCTTGAGCAACTTCCCACTTTGAAGGAAGTCGGTCACGAAAAACTATTGAGTACCATTGTGATAAATGAGATACTAGTGTGATAAGTATAATCACACAGTGATCTTTTGGCTGACAGAAGTAGGTCTCATGAGGAGTTTGATTGTTCTGAATGAAAATTCGTACTTTTATATAAGTTTATTAAGGTTTTGTTATATCGTCATATACTGCGAAGACAAGCAGTCACTAGCTAATTATATAAAGTCAATTTGTTGCCTTTCATTGCGTTTTCATATGCCTTTTCAAAGTCCTTTGTAAGCGATTCTCATATCGCGTATAGCGCTTTCCTCACATCGTGCATTATTCTAGATTAAGTCATGAGTCATATACCATCGGTATCAATTCGCTCTGGTGTTCTCGGCGTGGTTTGATGCGCACGTTTTGCATCACCCATGCACGACGGGGCGGCGACACCTGGAGCTTTGCCATCGTCATCAGCTGATTTCGCAGCCCATCAGATCGTTTTTGGCTAATTCTTTCATTTTCTTGGCAGGATTTCCTCTCGAAAAGTGATGGGCCGATCCTGATCAGACAGATGTATATGCCGTTTTTGCAAGAACATCTAGAAATGTGAATTTTCCATTACCTAATGTTTTGCTTGATAGGCCAACAGTGAAAATGCACTCTCATAGGCGTTATTGCAAAAAGCATATACATCTGTCTGATTAGGGCCCTCTCATCACTTTTCCAGCGGAAATCTTGAAAAGATAAGCGAAAATAATTAATAATTAGCCAAAACGACCTGATGGGCTGCGAAATCAGCTGATGACGACTAGCAAAGCGCCAAATGTGAACGGCGCCCCTTCGTGCGTGGGCGATTCAAAACGTGGGCACTAAACCAGTGCGGCGCGGAAAACTCCAAAGCAAACTGATACCGATGGTACATGACTCATGATTCAATCTAAGATGATATACGATGTGAGGAAACCGCTACACGCGATGTGAGATCATCGCTCACCAGGAACTTTAAAAAAGAATAGAAAACGCAATGAAAGGCAAAAGACTGACTTAGTAGTGACTGTTTGTCTTCGCAGTGAACAGTGACTGTTTGTCTTCGCAGGGTATGACGATGTAACAAAACCTTAATAACTTATATATCTGCACGAATCTTAATTTGGAACAATCAGATTCTTTATGAATTTACTTCTGTCAGCCTTATCGCCTCACTGTCGCTTCCCGCTGGAAACCGTAGAAGCGAGCGGGCTACAAATATGGCACTGAGCGGGACGTTAAAGCTGGCAGCGGGCGGACTGCAATGAGGGCTTCAGCGGGAAGCGAAAGTGGCCGCGATAAGGCCGCGGCGCTTTTGGTGGGTTTTCGCGGTGGCTTTGTGGCCGCCGCCTGATAGCCTTTGATTGTCTGAGTAGTATAGGCGTTTTCCATGCGTATAATGGGCGTGGCCTTGCAGACACCTCAACACGTTGAATAACTTTTTGAACTTCCACCTTAGAGCATTGGTTTTTGTAATCTCTAGCTATCAAAAACTGCCACACGCATACGTTGGCAAACGGCAAAGCTTCGCCCGCTATACTGGGAAGTAGACGATGCCAAAAGAATGCAACATTGCCTTCGCGTTGATTGACATGGACAATGCTTACACAACACATATCATAAGTTTATGTCTATAAACTTCGATCAAATAAATCAAAAAGATGTAATGTGGACCATATTTTTTACTAAAACGTGCACTTTATAATATTTGATATCGGCATTCTTTATCCCTTTGTAGGCGCCAAGGCGCTACTAGGTTTTTGAGATAAAACGATTCAGAGTTTGCATCACAATACTGCCCGCAGAAAAGATGGATCAGTAATCCTTATAGTCTTTAGTTCCAAAAGTTTGCTGACGACCTATGAACTAACTGAAAATCAGAAAGACAGCTGCTTAAAGGCACCGTCCACCCAAAATTTCGATCTCCATGTTTTTGGCGTTCTAGGGCCTTTCATACCCCCTGATTCCGAACAAGTCGAAAATACGCGAAAACCACGAAAACTCCCGTTTCCAGAACCCGCAGAGCGATTTCTTCGATACGGTGATTAGCTGGGCGCGCACGGATGGGCGGGACGAACGACGCCCACTCCGTAAGGGGAAGAGCCAGCGTCGCGAACTCGGCTTGAAGCGATTTCCGAAGCAATTTTCTCGGTTCGGAAGCAACTTCAGGCAGCGCGAGTTGGGCAGTCATACAGTTGGGGGCCCCGCATCTGCTACGTATCATAATCTCACCAACCCCATTTTGGGTGGACAGTGCCTTTAACCCTTACTAGAGCAGTGCTAGGGCAAACAAAAAAATCTGGTTTAAAACGCGAGAGAATGATCATTCTCGACAGTGAACGACAAGCATTTATGTTGAAACCCCCTTTGAACTCAACATGTGCCAATAATTGTAAACAATTAAGTCACGGGTGGTTACACGTATTCTTCCTGTTAGCCTTTTCAAAAATCCACAGTATGCCGGAGAAGGTTAAAGTTGATTTTTCAAGCGCTTAGCTTGATGTTTTATTGTGCATGATTAAACAGCACAGCAGCGAATGTGTGATTCAAATATCAGGTTCTCGTAGAAAAAAAGGTTTAGAACTAATTTTTTAGATTGACATGCGTAGGTTCATGCGGTCCATATGAGATTGACGGTTTTGGTTGAAAATAAATTGCTAATAAACCTTTGTAGCGCTGTCTCCCGTCCCCTCCCTCCCCGCCTTGTCTCGAAGTAACCACCAACGAATAAGCTTTTGGCTATCCATGGAATACAGTTAGAAGGTTCAATACGCTGACGACAGCACACTTCAAGCTGCCTGCCTTGTAGGACAATACCTTCTGTGAATTAGTTATAAAATTTTAACTAAAATTACGCATCTCGTCATATACAGTACAGTTACAGTAACTTCGAGAAGCAGTCTAGAAAAGCGAAAGTGTTTTCAGGGTCAGAGCACAACAGAATTTCTGGAACGAATTTATTTCGAAATAGTAGTTTGACACAGTTCAAGTCACATTGTCCCCATTGTCCCACTGGCAGTCATTGCATGATCCACCATGTGGGCTACCTTGCCATCAATGTTTTGACCAAACTGAATCTGTCTCAATCTGTTCATGGAACGCTCTTGTATTTATAAGTTAGTAACGCTGAGCGTGAGACAGTTGTTAATCGGAAAATTTGCAGGTGTTTCTCCCTTGTTCGATAGTATCTCACTCTGATATCGGCCCGTAGTAAACCCCCCCATCAGTGCACCTCGGCTGGTGCGGGCCTACGTTGAACGTAGGACGTCTCAGTCCAGCATCCAGTGAGCTATTGATCTGGATGCGGATTGCTTTGAAATCATGACAGTCATGAGTTCTTGAAAAAGAAACCACTTAACCGGTTTGGTCAAATAGGTAAGCAACTGAAATAGAACGCGCGCGGCCATGGGTCAACACCGGCTAGCGCCACACTTTTGCTGCACCGCCTGCGTCTTTGACAGCGACCTATCGCAAATTGCGATGACCGCTACCAAGGATTTCGGCACATGCATGGATGAAACAAAAACACACTTTTTAACGAAAATTTCACGAAAAAATCAAATGATTGCAAAATGAATTCAATGAAAAAAAATAAGTTGTTGTCATGAGCAGCTTTTCAAAGAAAATGCCAGCAATTTCCACGCGAAAATCAGCGTTCATCGATACTCTTCTTTTCAAGCCGTATTGTGCAGTTTTGCGCCGATTTTGTTTGCAGTGTTAGGCAAATTGGTATGTATCCTAAGTTACTCAGGAGCAAATTACGGGAGTCTTGTCTGCGTCTCCTCTTTTACACACTATTTGCATTCGTCTAACATCAGTCCACGTTCAATCCAACTGAACGTGAACTGATGTGCAAGAGTTGACTGCAGCAGGTGGACGGATGGTCAACTATCACTTCATTCGCCAAGCTTATAGCATGGGAAGGTGGGCGGTCATCAGTTCACCTCATCTAAGCTCAACTGATGGGTTAAGCTCAGTTCACCTGAACTGATCGAGCTTTACTACGGGCCATTATCTCACAAAAATCTCGCAATTTCCTGCTTCACTCCAACAGCACTCCTAAAATCTAGCAGGCCACCTTGCTCAACTTGGAAATCACCGCAGCAACAGCATAGCTCAAATAAAGAAACACCATCTGACCTATTTGTGCCAGATTGAATACGCTGACATTTGAAATTCCTGCAGTAATGCTTTAGTCGGGGGACAACAACAGTTTATTGAAGAGCGACTTCAAAATGGGGTCTCTTCATCGGGTACTTGCTACTCCCACGGACTCTTCTCCTCTGTCCTCAGTTTCTTCTCCATCTTCTTCCATGGGATCCTCGTCGTCTTCTTTTTCAGCGTTTACCTTATCCAATGCGCTTTGTAGTGCTTCTGCTGCTTTTGCTGCTTCTACTGCATTCGTTCGTGACTGCCTTGATTTTTCTAAGCCTTTTACTAAGTCGGGAAACCAGCCAAAATTACTGCATACTCCCGAACATGATGTTACACACTGCAAAAAGTACAAACTCGACAGAGACATTTACAAAGACTAGAGACACTCACTCCCCGTTGCCTTGTCCGAAGAGATTCGCTCCTGCCACCCCTCGTTGCTCCCTCGACACACGCCAAAAGCACAGTGATAAAGAGTGCCTTTATGAGTTTCATGCTGAAGAAAATTGATTTTATAGTTTTTTTTGTCCATCAAACGAGATTTCACAGAACTTTAACGAAGTCAACTGAACTGTCCTTGATATTAGCCTGGACAAATGTTCTGTCGCGCAATTAAAATCTTATAATTCTTGATGTCTCATCTGCCCTCTAGTTATCTTAGAAAAAAAAAGTACATATTTTACCATACTTTCAAAGAGTATGTACTTTTACAAGAGATGGAAGCGGTAAGAAAATTACTCAAATTCGACTTTCTTGTTTTGGCGAAAAAATTTCATTTACGATATGGGTGTAGCCAGTATTACAGACTTCATGACCTAAACTTTTTGACTGAGCTATTCATGCTGTATGAACATCACTTCCAAGCAAGCAGTATAAAACAACCAATGTGATTTCATTTACTTCTCTTGAAAAAGTGAGTCTTTCCAAAACATCAGATCAGATCAACCTTCGCCGTTCAAAAAACGCAAGTCAAAAGATCTATATGAACTGTATTCGAATTTATCCAAGTTTCACATATTTGTTGAGTACCAATAATCGGTAGTCAAAAGGCAAAGAGAAAAATGCTCATGGGAATTTCATCGTAGCCCGTCTTTGACCACTAAATGGCGTTAGTGACGCATTTTTTGTAGCTCTTTAGCCAATGCAGTCAATCTTTTAGATGTTCAACAAGGAGCGAGCAGAAAAGTCATTTTGACTTTACCTTCAGACAAAGTGACTTATTTTGCTTATTAACAGTAAGGAGTACATGCCGTAATGCGAAGCGATTAAATAACATTTCGAATTTCCTTCTACAGCCAAGAGTGAACTGAGGTTAGTTCTAGAATTGAGGCTTAATTCCAGTCTCTGAAGGGATGGTTAGTGGAATTACGTATCACTGTGGGGACACGTATGCATTCAACTTAATAGTTATTGGGCGAATCCCCAAAATTTCATGAGTGGAGCAAGAAATGTTTTTCATCACAGACATTTGCTTCAAATCACGTACGAGAGATTTTAACGAATTAAAGGCGGTTAGGCTATGTAAACTTTGAAGTAGATAGTTTGACTACCCAAATTTTCTTGTTTCGAGCCACAATATGCCCCTGAAAATCTTTATGATGGAAGAATAGCTGGAACTTGTAAACCGAATCGAAAAAAATGCCGGGTGGCACTTACATCAGACAGAAAAAATTGTTCGCTAGGCCCAGAAAATTATTCTTACCGCTGTTCTTTCTCTCTATCGCGTTCGCGCAAAAAATGATAGATCATTGAGTCAGTGACTTTTACAAAAAACAGGACAAAATCCGGCAACATTTATTTGACTTCTCAAATTTTTCTTGAACGATTTAGATGCGCTGTATTGGTTTGCGAAATGAGAGATTGGATGCCAGATTGTCAACTTAAGTGTTAATACGTATTATATATAAAATCAAAATTTCAGTAAAGCTTCGAAATTATCAACTAAATGAAAAAAGTTGCAAATGCACAGAGGACAATGTTGCTTAGCATTTGCCCTTTTATACGCCTCGATCTACCGCTCAAAGTTTGGTAAATGGTCAAAATTCATGTGAGAGCAAAACTGTCGCTTTCACTGAGTACATCGATCAAAAATCGAATCATTGAAAACAAAATGAGACCAATAAGCTGTGTTTATCGAAATCACGTAGGAATCTATTTTTAGATAAAAACTGACTTTGTAAGACACGTATCACTACACTGAGGTGGCTTTGCGATGAACTCGCTAGAGTGCATTCACTACAGACATTCAAAACAATGTTATTTTTCCATTTCGAAAAAAGAGAAAATCTCTCGCTCCAAGATCTTTAAAAAAGACTTTGAAAAATCTGCACTAGTGTCATGCTACAGAAATTGCTGTTAAGGAGTTATCGTAGAAAAGACAACAAAAACTGAGAGCGAAATTCCCCGATTTGAGTTGAGGTTATAGAAACAATAGCATGGCTATATATAGAATACGTGGACATATTTGCGATCCGCCGTCTTGTTACTCTTTTTGAAATCAAACTTCGAATTCCTGCAGTCAAGAACCCAGCGAATTTATCTATAAATGTCCTATTCCCTCTCTGTTTATGGCTTTTTCGAATTTTTTATTATCAAATTTCTTGATACTACTACATACATCCAAACAAAATTTAGCAAATAAGTGAAAAACCCCTTATCTCTTACAAAGCAAGTCTGACAGTCTTCTGCCTATCTTTGTAAGTCTATTTACCTGACCGTTTTCAAATGTGTCCTGCTCTTAAGACTGTGAGAACTATTTAACAAATTTTCATAAACTTTTCCCCACTGAACAATTTTCTTTGAGCTTGATTGATTCCCACTCCATCAATTCAGAATTCAGTTGCCCTCTTTGTCTGATTGGTCTGAGCTTCAATATTTTCTACTCTATCGAAGTTTGTACTTGCACGTGATCCGCTTTTCCAGTACTTGTGTTCCGAAGCGAAACCATAGCATTTGTTTTCAAAATTTTCCTCTACCTTACTAAGTTCCTACCTTAGATAAATATCTCCCTTGATATCTGAAGCTGTAATGTCAGCTGTGGTGTTCGCGCTGTTTAACGTGCTCATATGCCCGCTGCCTTTTTTTTGGAATGATGAAGTCGTTGATACTGCATTTCTTCTTCCACATTGAATTTGATAGTAATTGGTACAGCCTGATTGGAACCGTATTTAGACTTATTTGATTTCTTTTCAAAGTTTAAGAGCAGGAAGCACGATGGGATCCTCATAATAAGTGAGAAAAAGATCTGCTAGCGCAAGGTCACGCGGATCTTCACATATTCTATTATAGGGACCTCTAAATAAGCCATTGCAACAAGTCCCACTCAATTTGACCTCCTTTACGCTGAGAAAAATTCGCTCAAAGTGGCACGCGGAGAGCGAGTTGGTACGCGCGGACGACTACTTCTGTCTCCCCCCTTACGCGTTTGAACATGTTTCTCCACTTGGCATCCACCTCCCCTCTGTTGCTGCCATTGTGGCTGAGGCTGGAGTTGAAAGGTACAACTCGTCCATCTTGCTTCCGCGGGGCCTCCAGAAAACGGGGTTTTTGGGAACTTCGTTCGATTTTAAGCCCATACAGTTCTAGACAGGGTCCGACAGGCATGCAAAATGCAAAAATCTCCGCAACTAAATTTTGGTGAGACACTGCCTTTAAACATGTCAACTTAAATAAGCGTCTCAAATTTACTGGAGTTAAAGGCAGTGGATCGGCAAAATCCAACAACTCGGGATTTTAACGCGGTAGGTTCCTTATCGCCCAACTATGTAAGCACCGCAATTCCGGTTGCACAGCATGCTTTCTCTGCCGAGAAAATCGCTCTCGAACTTACACGCGCAGGCCAATCTTACACGCATCTGGACAAGTTGACAATTTCTTCTCACCATTGGAGGCTGCCCGCCGCAACGCTATAACCATTGGGTCCTGCAACGATTTAGCGGATCGGCCTTGCTCCACTCGTCCAATATCAAAATGAAGGGCATCAAAAAACGCTCATTTTCGCCGTTTTCAAACTTTCAAAACTGGATTTTCGGGATTAGCGTATTGAAAAACCCCAGGTAAGCAGAAATTTGACTAGGTTGAGATTTGCCGAGCCACTGCCTTTAACGTGTTGAAACGATCGAAAGGCAGCCACATTGATGATTCCATATGGAAACAATTCGGGGGGATGCACTATATGTACGTGTCATTTGCCAAGGTCAATGCCCGGCACATTTTGCGTTTTCGCCTTTCTGCATGTTTCACGCCTTCTCGACAAGTAAAACCCGATTTTGAGCTCTGAACGGGGCGAAAAGACCGTTTTGGGGACGTTTACCTAATATTTTCTATGGAAAGTTGAGAAATCCTGATACGAAGACCCTGCCGCCTGTAATTTTTGCTTTGGATAGCAGGCACAATGCTGTAGGGGTAGTGGGATCCTGCGCCGAGTGGGCAAGCGAAGCCGTCCGAGCGCGCGCCGTTCGAAGGCTATTTTCTCGGCGCAGGGGGACATCAACTAGGCGGACTGGGCTTGGAGGTTAGTGGGTGACCCCCACGGTGGGACTAAGATGACTAAGACTAAGCCCAAATCCGGAGCCATGTGATTGTTTTTGCGCTGTAAACAAGCCGTTTATTTATATGGTCTTGCGTTTTTGAAATTCGCGCGTTTGCGAAAGAACACTTCAACTTCTAAAATGTGACATGTTCGTCGTTTTTTTGGCGCTTCCTCCAGGACCTTATCAAAACGATATCCCCGTAGCCTCCCAAAAACGAAGTCAGTTTGACTCCAAACCATCTGTGCCGGGCCCTGATCCCACCACAGCGATATTCTCTGCCGGGACACTGCCTTCAAGGGAAAATGCTGGGCAAGTGGACAGAGTTTAGGGCATTGCTATTCTTCGGCTTCCAATACTCTTAAAAGCAACCTTTGTCGGTGCACAGTTTGGATAGGGACTGTATGAGGAAGCCCACTGTAATGCTCTCGACTCTCACTCTTTAAGATTAGGCTAGAAGATGAATTGAATGAGCATACATATGGCTGCCTTAGATCGGGCGTATTTTGCCTCTTCCTTCGGCTTGTCAGAATGGAATACGAGCTTAAGAGAGGTTAAGTATTGAACTTTGGATCTTCAAAATAATTCGTGAACAAGCTAACATCTTGTCGTTTAAAATCCCTCTTACTCAGACAATCACAGGCTCTCAGCCGGCGGCCACAAAGCCACCGCGAAAACCCACCAAAAGCGCGGTGGCCTCATCGCGGCCACTTTCGCTTCCCGCTGAAGCCCTCATAGCAGTCCGCCCGCTGCCAGCTTTAGCCTCCCGCTCATTGCCATATTTGTAGCCCGCTCGCTTCTACAGTTCTCAGCGGGAAGCGGCAGTGAGGCGATAAGGCCACGGCGCTTTTGGTGGGTTTTCGCGGTGGCTTTGTGGCTGCCGGCTGAAAATCTTGTCTGTGTAGCTTCTTGTTATGCTTGGACTACAACGTTGTAACTTCAATTAATTCATTATAACGATGACAA